TAAACCAATAATTTCCCAGTAGAGGAGGTCTCAATTAGTTCCCAGTTAGTATAAGGGAATTATATACAATTTGTCAAGCCCTTCAAAGTTATTTACTGATGTGGTATGCACCATTCCATAAAGATCTGTTTAATTATACCCACTTCCTCAATAGCTTTAAAGTGTGAATATTAGAAGAAGCATTTGCCCAGAGATATTATGGATGATTGTTATGCGTGGCAGTTGAGATGATTAGAAGGGACAGAAGAAGTAAAAGCAGGTTGATTTGCATGAGTTGCTGACCGTATGAGCTTCAAACTAAGTCTGTCTTCAGTCTATTTTATATTCCAGTTGCAGAAGGCAAGGTCTCACCATCACTTAATCCAGAATGTATAATTCCAAGGATGCTAACTTTGAATACAGTTCCAGTGGACTCAGACTTGTGATCAGAGTATGCTTGGAATTTTAATTTCTGATGTTTTAAAATGGCTGTCATTAAATATAAAGGAAGTACCTTCTAGGAGAACATGCCTAGATTCTCACTGTTATGAGTCATGAGAAAAATCTATGATGCAGTATCTTCCACACCCACTTGATAAATCTGTCTCTTCAAGAAATAAGTAGGAAAGCTATAAACAATCCTTTGTAAGAAATAAGTTATATATTTTATTTGAATGGAAACACATTTTATTTCATACTAGGTCTGAAGGGAAAGTCTCTCAAAGGTAAGCTAGAGGCTTCTGATCTTGTCAGATTTGCCTCATTTCTTCTAAGAGTTTGAGTTCTGCACTTAGGAGTGCATCTTTAATTTCATAGCTGTCAATGTACCAAGCACGGCTAATTGTAGATGAGAGAATGACCTTGGATTTTTATTTCTATTCTGCTTTAAAACATAGTCTAACAGGGAATAATTTCTTAGATATATAGCATGCTTCTTCATAGTTGATCCAGCAATCTGATAAAGCTGAAAGTAAGCACTGGGATGTTGTTCAGCTACATCAGCTTTATAAACAATATAGGAAAAAGATATTCTCAACAGAGGATAAAATAGTTGGTAAAGCCAGTTGTCATAATACATAAAAAAATCTTAAAAGACTTGAGATATCCTCCTAACTGGCATTTTTAAAAATCTTTCTTTTCTGCATAATTTTATTGAAGTTGCTTTAATGCTTGATTCAGCTTTTGAGATGAATTTACTTTGAGCAATTAACTGTAGTACTAGCATTTTGTTTTGCATGGTTCAAAAACTATTTTAGCGCAAAGTGTCTTTTATTTAAATTAATTTCGGCTAACATAGTATGCAAGTATGGCATTTTGAAAAATGGCTGAGTGGGGATGTCCTTCTCTGAACTTGCAAATATGCTTCGAAATCTTTTTTTCTTACTCTAGTTTTCATATTGCTAAGCATTACTTCAATTTCAGGAGCTTCTTCCACAAATCAAAATGTATTGACATTTTTCTCATAAAGAAGAGAAATTAATTGGCCAAGTCTTCACTTTAGGAGGGAGTTATAAGAACATGACCTGAATGCATGGACATAATTCTTGTATGTAAACTCTTGGTTTCTATGGTTGGTATTTTTAATGGCTCACTTTTATAGACATAGTGGTTACAATATACAACTCAGCATGTGTGGCTTCCAGTTTCTCCAAAGGTACTATAGGTATTTCTCCATTCCTAGCAAGTCATCTACACCAGAGGTCCCCAACCCACGGGCCGCAGCCCATTACCCCAGCTTGGCCCATTCGGAACTGGCAAGTGCACACAGCTCCATTTGTGCAAATGGCGGGTGTGTGTGTCTGCCACTCATACAAATGAAGCTGAGCGCACCTCACTCCCGCTTGCGCATAACCATTCCCTCTCCCTCCCCTCCCTGTCGGTCCACAAAGCCAGAAAGATTGGGGATCACTGATCTACACATCTTGTTGTCTCTGTTTCTTGCTTTTCCTACTGCAGTGTGTTATCCAGCTACAATTTATTTCTTCTCTTTATATTTATTCTCTTGCCATCTCTTCTCAGTAATTTCCAAACTCTAAGCTGAGAAGTACTACCGTGCCATGAAAAAAATTGTATTACAAAAGGGTTGAGATTAATTGGGACTCTGGAACATGTATTTTGGCATTTAAGATTTCAGCATATGATATTAAATTATATTTTCTTCTAGAGAAAGCAGCCAACTGGGACAAATTGGAGAGAATGCAAGGAAGAAATAGTTTGGTTAATTTGTTTGTGCACTGCTATGTATAATTGGATTGGGAGAAGTATGTGCATACCTTCAGTGATTGGATGTGGGGGATTTTTTTCAGGAAGCATTATAAAGTTATATAACTAATTAATACAAGTATTCAAAATGTTTCAAAGTTGAAATAAACGAAGTTCCATTCCAACTTCAAAATAGCCATTCTTTCCAACATTACTGAAAAAAAGTCCAGACTTTTAAAAACAATGCTCATTTTCAAGGCTGGACCAGACTAGGAGGTTCTGGGCTTGAAACCTTTTAAATATGAAAAATTGGCATGCCTGTATTAATTAAGATTTTAACAGATTTCCCTGTTAAACCACACAAACACAAGATTTCAGTTTATTACTTTAAAGCTCTGAAAAAGAAGGAAAAATATTGCCACATCCACTTTGGTCAGCAAAGTTCATAGGAGCTCATCAGCCACATCACTGTACAAACCGCCAGAATGACAGCTTTTAAAATTTCTATTTGTTTTCACTAATTAGGTAGGTCATTAAACCGGACATCTGCTAAATCTTACTCTTCTGCACTGCTTCTCCATGTTGTCAGTTTTGCATTTGTAGTCATCAGTATTCATGCATTTTAATGCCTTTCGTTTTTTCAGGAGCAAATAGACTGTAAAGTTAGAAGACATACAGGAACGATACACAAATTCATACTAATTGGAAGTGTTATTTTCTTATAGGAGAGGAACCAGAGGAAGCAGAAATTGACATGCCTAAAATATATGAACCCATTGAATCTTTTAGTGCCCTGAAGGACCGTTTGAACATGTTTTTGCAAATATATAATGAGAGTATCCGTGGGGCAGGAATGGATTTGGTGTTTTTTACCGATGCCATGATTCACTTAATAAAGGTATTGGTGGACACGACAATTGCTTTAGTTAAGTTTTGGTGATTTCAGATACCTGAGTTGAACCTTTGATAATCCATCAATTTCATATGCACAAATTCTAACAATATTCAAATGTAATCAGTGAAACTTTCTTGAATGAAGACTTACCCATGTGTACTCTGAAATGTTCCATAAAATGCTGTTTTCATAATCAGAGTGTTGCCTCTAGAGAACTAAAAGACAAATCTTTCAAAGTATAAGAAACTGAATTGAGGTAAAGATGAACATCTATCATTTGTTTTACAATAAAAGGAACCAAAAAGCTTTCCCCATTCCTCCAGTAAAAATCTCTCTTGCAAAATTATTGTATGTTAATTTGTAATTAAAAAATTCTCCATCATGCACCCAGTCACCTGCAGGAGTGAGCAAGGCCAATTCTGGATACTGTCCTAGACTTTGTAGAAATACTAAACATGAGAGATTATATGTTGCTCTCAGGCTGGTATCCTGAGATTGCCACTTTTATGTTTTTTTAAAAAAAGGCAGATTTAGAGAATAACAATATTGTGGGTATAGAAGTGACACCAGTGAGAAACAGATTCATTCATATGCACCAAATACTAACTATACTAAGAATGGGGATGAAGGTTAAGCAGGACCAGCCCTACTATCAAGCATATGATGGCTATCTTGGTGGCAGATTATAGGGGGCAAGAACAGTCATGATTGTCCCTAATTCACCTGTCATTCCTGTAGGGTTCTGCTTTAGTCAGCGGTCTTGCTTTAGTCTCTGTGAGGCACAGCTTTATTTTTCTTTTAAGGATAGTCAAATTGAGGTAGTCAGGAGAGAGATTTCTCAGCTAAGCAGAAATAAATCATTGTTCCAGCACCCAATAGATTGTGATACTTTAGCTTGTGATACTTCAGTAATGCTTTAGCTTACCTCTACCGCTATATTTAATCAGGCTTGTTCTGTTGACAGTACAACATGGTCAGTATGTAGGGCCTCTTAAGGTGACTGTGACATTTCGAAGAGATCAGTGCCTCAGTCCTCGCAGTTTGAGTATATTAGTGCAACCTCCATAGAACAGAAGACACTGGTCTTACGCACTTTTCTGAGAAAGAAAATTGTATGCAAATAAGAACTCAAAATATACTTCCGAACCCAAATGATTTTCCTCGTCAGAAAAGTTGTTTGTATTAAACAGTAATTGTATCTGTATCATTGCACTGACTCATTATATAAGTAGTGACGGTTTTTTGGGTTAGGGGCCTGAATTGCTATCACAGGTGGGCTTTTGGGAAAGATTAATCAGTCCAGCTTACAGTATACACTGTTCCAGGTTCTTGCTCATGTTATTTTAAGCTAGACTCTCTACTTGGATGTGATAGAAAATGCTGATCATCACAATATGGATTCAAATGCTAATTCATAAGCTTCTGTACAATGAATAAGAGAAGCATCATTTTGTCCTTGATACTACCGGTAGAAAGCAAATTGTCTGTAGCCAAACCTGGAGCTTATATTTATGGAAGGAGTTTTGGAATGGGATCACCATTGTGCTACCAATATTAAAGATGCGGTGCAATACAGGAACTTATCAAGTGTCTGCTTAATATTGTGTCATTCTAAATCTACAACCAACAAAATGATGCTGTGCTTTGTAGATCTCTCGTGTGATCCGTACTCCCCGAGGAAATGCCCTACTTGTTGGTGTTGGAGGATCTGGAAAGCAAATCTTGACAAAACTGGCATCATTTATTGCAGGCTATAATATGTTCCAGATCACATTAACAAGGTAACTATTGAATAAAACATGGTATCAGAATGGATGCTTAATTTATAAAAGAAATCAAATAATTAACATGTAAAACATATTATTGTGCTAGTTCTAATTTTAAGAAGGTTTATATAATCATTAGCCTGCTTTATGAACTATTTTGCCTCCCTGATTTGATTGATTGCAAACTCTCTCAACTTCTAGAAATGGTTATAGGTTGAATATTAAATTCAATTTCAAACTTATCAAAATTTAGGTTTTATATTTATTTCATTTCTGTATGTTTTGGTCCTCCATAAAAGGTTTAATTCGCCATTCTGTTAGTAAAAGGATGGGGCAAAAATCCCCCTCCTTCACTTTTGGAGGTTTTTTGCTTCTTGGTATTTTTGTTTTTCAGGAAGGTTGAGAAGTAGGATAGAGAAAATTGATGTTCTTACCCAGATTCAAACGCAGTATTTACAATCAGCTTAAAATAGTATGATTTGACTTTGGTTGCTTGTAGCTTGGGCTAATCTCTGAAGTTAGGCTAGCCTTTCTCCTGTTGGTTTCTGGAAGGCTTCTCCTGGACCGATCGGGTCAATCGCTGTCTCTCCGTGGTCCACAGGAATTCCTTCCTTCTTTGCTGCCTCTTTGGGGTGACTTCACGCCCATTTAGGGTCCCCTAACAGGAAGAAAATCAGCCAAAGAGCACGGAGCCCCAAAATCTCTTGGCTGCTGCGCTACTGTGCAAGACCAGAAGTCCTGGTTTGTTAATTATGTTTACATTCTGTATTATCAAAACATTATAGAGCTTAGACCAATGAAACAAAAATGAAGGATAAAACAATAGACAAATTGAGAAATAAATTTAAATAGTGGAGAGCATTAAAATGCATAGATGTAACCATGTAGATATACTACATATTTCTAAAAGCAACAACCATTAAACAGGCACTGAGCAGAAAGGCCAAAATAAATTGTTCTCATTTTAAGGCATCTTGCTTCAATCAAAACTATTTGAAGCTTGGAATGTTTGTGACTACAGTATTTTATTTTTCCTTTTTCTAGATCCTACAATGCATCTAATTTGATGGAAGACTTGAAGCATCTGTATAAGACAGCTGGACAGCAAGGAAAAGGAATCACTTTCATTTTTACAGATAATGAAATAAAAGACGAAGCTTTCCTAGAGTATATGAACAATGTTCTATCATCAGGAGAGGTAGGATTTTCATTTTTCCTCTTGGCATTGAGTGAGCTCTGGGTTTTCAGAAACAGAGAGCTTGGCTGATAAAGCTGTAGTGACAGACTGATTCTGTAAAGTTCTGTGCTTGAATTCATTGCTGATGAAAAAACGAACCCGCTGAATACTGATTTTTGAGTAAATATAGAGCAGATCAAGCTCTTCGTCTTTAGTTAATTTACTACTGAGGTACAATAAATCAGTAAAACAGAGTTGGAGAAAATCTTTAGTAGAATCACACAGATTAAAAATATTTTATTTCTAGGGTAAAAATACAGAGATAGCCAGTTGTCACTTTCCAAATATTACTGACAATCATCTCCCAGAAGCCTTAGCTAGCAAGGCAGATTAGGAGTTGTAATTCAGCAACATTTGGATGGCTACAGGTTTCAAGAATAAAAGGGAAGAGAAGAGAAAATTAAATGTGAATATTTATTGGCATATCCTATCTTTTCCCATAAGCTAGCATTCAAAGTAGCTAATAAAATAGCAATAAATGGATTATAATTAAAATGCTTTAATTGTCAATTGTAAAGTCAGGAAACACTCTAACAATGAGCTCTTTAACTTCAAAATTTCAAATGAATACAGTAATCTTTTGGTAATACAGTATATGAATGAATTATTCATATAAAGGTAGCTAAATAACTTGAAAAAAATTTGACAGCTGTGGGGTAAAATAAAAATGTTCTTCCCATCTAGGTATCCAACTTGTTTGCTCGTGATGAAATTGATGAAATCATTGGCGATCTCATTCCAGTTATGAAGAGAGAGCATCCACGACATCCCCCCACCAATGAGAATGTATATGATTATTTCATGTCTCGAGTTCGCCAGAACCTGCATGTGGCTCTTTGTTTTTCACCAGTGGGTGAGAAATTCCGAAACAGAGCTTTGAAGTTTCCTGCACTCATTTCTGGTTGCACTATAGACTGGTTTTGCCGTTGGCCCAAAGATGCCCTGGTTGCAGGTGAGGTTTGAGATGTTTGGCTATTGTAAAAGATTATAACTTGTCAGTAGTTTTGAGGCAGAGACGGAGAGAGGGATGGAAAAATACTATAAACAAATATTTTAATTAACAGGAGTGATGTTTAGCAAGCATTACCTAATATTATAAACTGGCTGTGTGTGATGACCTGTGTGTAATTCTATGAAGAAACCTTTTTACAAGAAATGTTAACTGAAGGTCTCAGATGGTGTAAGATATTACCCGTGTAGAGC